TCAGGGGGAAATGACGAAGCTCCGCTGGCATCGGGCGCCCAGCGGTTTCCTGCCCCCTATCATGCGGCACGGCTCCAACGAGGCATATTGTACTGTCTTGAAGGCGGCGAAGGTCGTGCTCGCCTTCACCTTCTCCGCGCTGGCCGAGCTGCAGTACTTCAACCGCCAGCGCGTCGTGGACATTGCTTGAGAGGTCTTGGGCTCCTCCCTCTGCGCCCTCGAGAAGCTGAACGTTGTGGTCAACGGCTTCGCGCTGCAGGGCGTGTCCAAGGTCGCAGAGCGCCTGAAGGCTGTCGTCGCCGAGCCCGTGCTCATGGGCAGCCAGTTCAAGATGGAGCCACTGAGATACACTTTCTTCATGGCCCCTGTGCGCCTCTCGGTCCTCGGCATCGGGAGCATCATCGCAGGAGACCCTTCTGTCATCACCAACTCGGCATTGTGGCGGCCCTAGCTCATCCCGAACGTCTGCATGGCGTTCCCCTTCAATGCGAGGATCGCGCAGGCGACCATGGAGACCTCGGCGGTGAGGTTCAGCAGCAATGGCGTGGTGATGGACATTGCCCTGGTCGTACCCTCCTCGGCGTTGTTCACGATGCGATCACCTTCAAGCAGTGGCTCTCATTCTCCGACACGCCCAGCGGGATATTCCTCTGGCCGTTCATGAAGGGAGCCGAGGTGATCAGCCAGGCATTGCGTAAGGGCGCTGTCGACGCCAAGAGCAGGTCGCAGGTGATTGAGGGCAGCGGCAGGATAGCGTTGGCGCTCACGTTTCACAGCGCTTCCTCCTTCTCGCCCCCTCCTCCTCGACATTAAGTGTGAAAAGAAATCCCGACGGCCAAGGCCGAGATGGAAGCTTGTCCCAGTTGGTTGCGACGTGAGGGCGTCGGCAACCCCGTACTTCTGACTAGTTGCAGGAATGGGAAGTCCTACTGGTGGAGCTATAGTTTTCGTTCCGCTTCCTGTTCTTCGGCGGGCGCAGTAGCCATTCTCGTGGTGAAGAGTAACGTTGGCCTTCTCAATCCAATCTTCTCGTAGCTCCCAGTTGCGACGCGGGGACATAAAGGCCCCGCAGCTGGCAATGGCCAGCTGGGAGGTTGAGGATGCCCTCGGGCCCGTCCTGCTCGCCGCTGGCAGTCGTGCGCCCAGGCTCCCTCAGTGTGTCAGTTCTGGAACGTGGTGTGACGGCCTCGAGGGAAGTTCCTCGGGGGCCGAGCTCGGAGTCTAAGTTGCTGGCAACGGCATTTGCTCCACCTGTGAGCTGTGCCTCCGCAGGCTCGCCGTGTAGTGTGGTCTGACTGAGTCAGCTTGGGGTAATCCTTGGGTAATCCTCCTCCTCCTCCTCCTCCCCTCTCCTCCTTCCCCCCTCCTCCTCCTCCCCTCTCCCTCTCCTCCTCCCCCTCCTCCCCCCTCCTCCTCCCCCTCTTCCCCCCCCTCCCCCCTCCCCCTCTCCTCCTCCCCCCCCTCCTCCTCCTCCTCTCCTCCTCCTCCTCCTCCCTCCTCCTCTCCTCGTCATCCTCTTCCTCCTTCTCTCCCCTTTCCTCTCATCCTCCTCCTCCTCCTCCTCCTCCTCCTCCTCCTCCTCTCCTCCTCCTCCTCCTCCTCCCCCTCCTCCCCCCTCCCCACTCCCCTCCCCCTCTCCTCCTCCTCCTCATCCTCCTTCCTCCTCCTCCTCCTCCTCCTCCTCCTCCTACTCCTCCGCCTCCTCCTCCTCCTCTCCTCTCCTCACCTCTTCCCTCCCATACTCCTTCCTCCTCTCTCCCCCTCGTCCGTCTCCTCCTACTCCCTTCTCCTCGTCCTCGTCCTCCTCCTCCTCCTCGTCCTCCTCCTCCCAATCAATCATCATCATCATCATCATCATCATATCATCATCATCATAATCATCATCATTCATAAATCATCATCATCATCATCTCATCAGTCACATCATCAGAATCATCAATCATCATCATCAATCCATCATTAATCAGCATCATCATCATCATCATCATCATCATCATCATCATCATCACCATCATCATCATCATCATCATCATCATCATCATCATCGCCAGCATCATCATCATCAGCATCATCATCATCATCAGCATGATCATCATCAACATCAGCATCAGCATCAGCATCATCATCAGCAGCAGCATCATCATCGTCATCATCAGCATCATCATCATCAGCATCAGCATCGTCATCACCATCATCATCAGCATCACCAGTTTCATCATCATCATCAGCACCACCAACATCATAAGAATCATCATCATCACCATCATCATCACCACCATCAGCATCGTCATCATCATCAGTACCATCACCATCATCATCAGCAGCAGCATCAGCATCATCACCATCATCATTATCATCATCAACGTCATCATCATCATTATCACCATCATCGTCGTCATCATCCTCATCATCACCATCACCATCATCAGTATCATCATCACCATCGTCATTATCAGCATCATCAGCATCATCATCATCAGCATCATCATCATCATCGTCATCATCATCATCATCCGCATCATCATCACCCCCATCCTTTTTCTTCTTCTTATTATTATTATGATGATTATTCCTCTTCTTCTCGTCCTCCTCCTTCTCCTCCTCCTCTTCCTCCTCCTCCTCCTCCTCCTCCCTGTCGCGGGCCGCCCCGTCGTGCCTGGCCGCCGCCGCGGGGGCCGCCGCCCCTGCCGCGGCCCCTTCTCGTTTTTGTTTCATGTTGCGCGGCCCCTCCCCGCACCAGGGCTCGCCCCCCCGCCTCTCCCAGGAGGAGGACGAGGACGAGGAGGAGGAGGAGGAGGAGGAGGAGGAGGAGGAGGAGGAGGAGGAGGAGGAGGAGGAGGAGGAGGAGGAGGAGGAGGAGGTGGGGGAGGGGGAGGAGGAGGAGGAGGAGGAGGAGGAGGGAGGAGGAGGAGGAGGAGGGAGGAGGAGGAGGGGAGAGGAGGAGGAGGAGGAGGAGGAGGAGGAGGAGGAGGGAGGAGGGGAGGAGGAGGAGAGGAGGCAAGGGGGAGGAGGAGGAGGAGGAGGAGGAGGAGGAGGAGGAGGGGAGGAGGAGGAGGACGGGAGGTGGAGGAGGTGTTGGAGGAGGAGGAGGTGAAGGAGGGGAGGAGGATGAGGAGGAGAGAGTTGGAGAGTTGGAGAGGGGACGAGGACGCGGAGGAGGAGGAGGAGGAGGAGGAGGGAGGAGGAGGAGGAAGGAGGAGTTGGAGGAGGAGGAGGAGGGAGGAGGAGGTAGGAGGAGGAGATGAGGAGGAGGAGGAGGAGGAGGAGGAGAAGGAGGAGGAGGAGGAGGAGGAGTTGGATGAAGAAGACGAGGAGGACGGCCTCGCTGCCGCCCTGCGCCGGCGAAGCGCGAGGCCGCGCCCGGCGGCCTAGGCCCTGGCGGCTAGCGATGAAGTCGGGCGTGTCCCTCCTACAGGGGGGATACTCAAAAGCAGTCCCAAAAAGAGTCTGGGGACGATTCTTCGATTCTAGTTGGACTAGTTTTGATCGTTTTTGAAGCTATTCTTCCTTTTTCTCCCCAAATCCGCCTGTGGGAGGACATGCCCGACCTAAGATTACGACGAAGCGTCTCTGGACGGTCATTCACTGCAGTAGGGTCCCGACTACAAGAAACCTTCGACAAGAAACCCAACCCTGAGACCCCAGGACGTCCATTGATCTTTGGTGCGGGAGCGTCACGAATTCCATGGCAAAGCCAGCGAAGCCCAAGAAACCCAGGGCACCCTGGAGGCAAGCAGGGTGTTTCTTGGCATGGGCCCCCACTGTAGTTACATGGGTGCGTATTTCGAATACTTCCATGTTGTGCTGCAGCGTCTCCCTGGTCCTGTGCTTCGCGCGCACGCCGCCACTGCGTAGGCTCCTGGACGTTCTCTCGTCCGTCCTGTGGCCTGTTCCAGCCCATGGCACCTACCCCTGGCCGCCACTTAGCACGACCCATGTGGCCGTCACTACCTGCTCTCCGTGGTTGCTTGTCTGTTTCGTTCTCTGGATTGCGTTTTGGCGACAAGCGTGGTCGTATCTTCACCAGAACTTGGTGCTGCGCGCGCCCCTGCGTCATTTGTTGCTACGCACCTCCTGGCAACACCTTGAGCTCGTGGCCCTTGGATACGAGTGATTCTCACATCCTTCGATTCCTACATTCCCCTGCTGCACGCGCCCGTCCTGTCCTCCGGTACACGCGTGCAGGGACTTCATGCCACGAGCGAGGAGGAGGAGGAAGAGGAGAGGAGGAGGAGGAGGAGGAGGAGGAGGAGGAGGGGGGGAGGAGGAGGAGAAGGAGGAGGAGGAGGAGAAGGAGGAGGTGGGAGGAGGAGGAGGAGGAGGAGAGGAGGAGGAGGAGGAGGAAGAGGAGGATGGGGAGGGGGGGAGGGGGAGGAGGGGGAGAGGGAGCGGAAAGGGGAGGAGGAGGAGGGGAGGAGGAGGAGGAGGAAGAGGAGGATGGGGAGGGGGGAGGGGGAGGAGGAGCAGGAGGAGTTGGAGGAGGAGGAGGAGGAGGAGGAGGAGGAGGAGGAGGAGGAGGAGGAGGAGGAGGAGCGTGTTCCGTCTCGTTTCCCCCCGCGCCCGCTCTCTTTCCGCTCCTGTTGTGCCCAGTTCGGGTCCGTAGTGTCCCTCCGCCGCCCGCGAGAGCGCGGCGTGGGTCCTCGCCGATCTGCGACCATGAAGAGTTGGCTCGGCACTCGCTGGTCCACGTTTTGGACGAACGTAATTATCGTGCCAGACCCAACGTTTTCAATCTACGTCTGAGTTGCGGGTCAACGCGCTACCCATCGGTCGCTGGAAGGAAGTATTTTCAGAGCCCCGGATTCCAATCCAAGTCCTTTCAGCGCCTTCCTACTTCAATGATCGAGTGGCTTCATCTTTTCTGTCCTCATTCGTGGGCGGACGGAACTCCATCTACTTTCAACGCCTTCCTACGTCATGTGTCTACCTACTTCTTCCGACCGATGGGTACGTCTGAGTTTCGTGTCAACGCGCTACGGGTTGCGCGTCGCGTATCGGGG